AACTTGGGGATTCCATTATCCCGCTCCAGCAGCGCGCTGCGCAGCACACGCGCGTACACCTCGCGGAAGAGGCTCTCCATGCACGCAGCCAGGTAGATCGCCGCGTGCTCGTGGATCCTGACCGCGACCCTGCTCTCGACCATCCACCGGAAGAACTTCCCCACGTTGAAGATGAGTCCGCAGCGCACCGACTTACCGCGGCTGAACTTGTCCTCCTCCGTGCTCATGTTGTACAGGGACAAGGCACCCAGGGCCGCGCTGAAGCAGCTCGTCGAGACGCTCCACGACAGGACGATCTTTATGGCACTTTGAATCTCATATTTGGTGCATTTGGCGTAGCGCAAACTCAGGCGCTGCGACTCCTTTGCGACCCTTACCAGGACCCGGCTGACCAGCACCGATAGCCTGAGCAGGACGTCCTGCGGTGGAAGCGGCAGGGTCATCTCCTCGTCCCTGCTCAGCGCGCTCGCCACTTCCCCGAGGCTCCACGGCACATCCTCAAGCTCGGGTAGTTTAGCGCACTGCCCGGTGCTCTCCAGGATCTCGGCGTCTTCGACCAGGGCCGTGTTAACAGTGTCCAGACTGTTGTGTCGACTGTGCATGGATTCGGTTAAATGCCAGTGATTCCCCCCATGCGCCTCTGAGCAGCACAGCGACGCACTGGAAGATCTGAAGGAGTCAGCGGCTCCACCATAACCCGAGTCTAGCGTCAAATCCTCCAGGGTCCTCGTTACTGACTTGCTACTCCTTGCCATAACTGCACTTCATACTGCAAAAGAGGGCTTAGGGAAGTGGAGGAAAATATTCAAAACGGTGGAGTTCGGATACGCACGCGTCTTGTACGAGCTATTCTTACCAATATTATTCTGTTTTTTAGTAAAAGTCCATCCAAGGCTGTCGTATAAAGTTAAGGAGTAGTATCTCACTCCAGTGCATCGACAGTCACACGGAGCCGTACCAGCGCAGTGCATGACAGATGGAGGCGGGGCCGTGGAGACCCGAGAACAGCTGTCAGCCAATGGACTCTCGGGATGAAGCAGCAAAGAGTTTTAATTGGATCGCTTTAGAGGATCAATAAAAAGTCACTGATGTAGCCCCTGATAAGCCTTATTAATAATGTATAAAAGCGATGTAAACACTGAGCACAATGCTGGTGCTGTTGGCTGTAGTCTACTTCAGGAAAGTTTCTCAAAACTTTGGAACAGCGTAAGTGCAGAAATCCTATCATGTCGAAGTACAATGTAAAAGACAGAAACTGCAATTAACAATACATCAGATAATATACAGTACAAGTAGCTGCTATTATACCATCATGTTTAAGGGACAAGTCCTCCATAGGGATCAGGCTTTTCAGATAATTTCTGAGGGCCCATGTCTGAACGTAACATGACTCAAGACTATTAATAATAGAGTGCATGCATAATGTAGCCTTCTCCAATCCTCTGGAGGAAAACTCATTGAAAAGATCTGAATTACTTTCAAGGTCATTCGCTGGGATCACTTGCATGGATTAACCTAGCCATTTTGTTTTTTTCCCCAAAAACCCATTGAATCTGTGAAATCTGCAGGAACCCCATTCCTGAAAGAATGGTGGATGCACATGCAAATACAATTTAAAAGATAAACAACAGCAGCAAGGTAGTTGTTTTAAGTTGAATGCATTGAAAATAACTGCAGTCATACTGTATTACTGACACCAGCTCTCGCAAATAACTATAAATGTACTAGGTGGTGGGGAAAAAAACTTAATTTAAACCATGAACTGGAGATTGCTGATCGATCTGAGGGCCTGTGGCTGCTTTACATCTGAGATGCATGAGCCTGAAGCTTCTGTGTTTGACAGTAAGCTGGACGTCTCTGGAGCAACAGTGAACCCTGGTGTCGTACAGTCAAACTTCTGTTTATTTATCAGGGCAAAAGGCTCACATTTCTGTGAAATAGACTTCTGAAATCCTTTATTCTTCACTGGAGATATACGTCTGTCAGGGTAGATACTATTACAAGCATCTGATGCATGTAAATAGTGTAGTTATTCATTACGTACATACTGTTCAGACTGTGAAGGTCACACAAGGAAAGGACAAGAAAGGATGTGTGAAAGAAAACATGTTTCTCCAAAACTTATAGAAATCGTAAATGTTTCAGTAAGTTTTCTCCTCTTAATGTGAAAGTCGTAAACGGAATACTATATCTCTCTCTTGCTCTATTCCTAAATTTCCCTTTGGATGAATAAAGTATCGAAGGCCTATCTTTATTCATTAACGTTGCTGCAAGCTCTACTAAAAGGTCTTCACAGCTCAGAAGGAAGTATATCGTCCAATAAAAGGGGTGAAAGGGTATATTTTGGTATCATCTTTTAAATGAAAATAAAAACAACTACGAAAAGGAGAGAGAATGGGCTTCATAGTGATAATGCTCTCTTCCTCCAGCTTCAGATAGAGAATCAAAGAGATTGATTTAATTATTTTGAAGTAACCTCATTGACTGCTCTATGACAGTTCTCCTTCTGATTTAAAAACATAGCTTTGATGTAGGGCACAAAAGAATTTAGGAGAATCAATTCTTGTAAAATGAAAGTGAAACTAAATTAGGTTATAAACCTCACCTTGAAGGTCTTTTATATTCCTAGAGGATAATATAATACCACAATTTGTATTACTGTGTTTGCTGCAAATTAGCCTTTCCGGCCGAGGGTCTGCTTCAATCTTAATTTAGAGGGGCCATCAAGCCAGAAGGAGCACAATTCGGAATGAGGCAATTAAAAAAAAAGACGACTTTTTTGCCATAAGCCCTTTTTAAAACCCACAAGAGCCCAAACACAAACCAAGTGGGGGCTTTCAGTATGGTAATGTTGTTCTGATGGTGTTGGTCTGTCCACCGCTTTGGTCCAGAATTAAATCCCTCAGATACAATTGGATGGATTGCCTCTGGTACCAAATAAACTAATGACCGAATACACTACTGACACTCCTGTTAGCCTTAGCTATACTTTGTGTTTGGTGCCATGTCAGCATGCTACCAGCCTACACTAAGAACATGGTTCACATTATAGGCTACCCACTAAACATCAGCATGTCATTGTGAGCACGCTGACATTAGCTCAAAGAGCTGCAGCCGTACCGGGCAGCTAGCATGGCTGTAGACTCTTAGTATTGTTTCATATCACCTGATATTCTGCTAAATTACAAGCAACGCATATTTACATCTCTTAATATGTACACTATCATACACAGCATAGTGCTGATTGTATTGTATCGTCAATCAACTTATGGCATTGACTGAACACACGTTGGACAGGCTAGCAGCAACCTACTCTGTGTCATATTCAGTCATTGGCCACAGCTGTGACTGCTCTAACCAAAGCAAACAGCAAAAATTTGTCACACAAATTTTAAAAAACCTTCTGCTCCTGGAAGTGAGAAAACAGAAATGAATGAAAAAAATATTTAATTTGAAAAAAAACGGAAATATTAAAAAATGTGATGAAGAGGATTCCAAGGCCTTTCAAAACCAATTCTGGTAAAGACTGCCATCTAGTGTCCACTTGCAAAACTGCATGCAATTATACAAGTAACTCAGGTAACTTACTAAACAGTAAGTAACTTACTGCCTTACATTGAGCTTTGCTGTTTACTGTCATCCTTGGTTCCTGCATCACTAAGTGTGCTGTTTCAAGCAAAGCTGATAGCAGATGAATAGAGTTTGTCAGATATATGCTCTGGGCAAGTTAAAAGCCTGCACAGGTAGATATTTACTATCATAGTACATATACTTTAAAGCTGGGTCTGTGGAGCAAATGTGTTTTGACAGCCTGCTCCAGGGTGATACAGTATGTTCCTCTCACTTCAGCACAGCACGTTCCTCTTTCCTCTTAGGCATTTCTTTGATAGCCTATAAAAAGAAGTAACTTGTACCATTTTTAGAGAAGTATTTGAATGACCCTGTAATGACACTGTAATATGGATTATTTTCACTGAGCATAGTTAAAATCAAGCATTCCTTGTGGAGTAGAGAGATACCTTTAACAAACAAAGAAAAAATTGAAATTAATTATTGCCTGATTTGCCATTAGGTATGAATAGAATGTTATTTAAAGAGTAGGTCCAACCTACTTCATAATTCACAATCCTACTGTCCAGTTTAGCTTTCATTTTCTTCATTTTCACAAATCTCTATGCTGAACAGCTGAGAGACATGTTTTTATCAGGAAGGTCTAGATACAAACCATAAAACATCAAGCCCTGGGGCACAATGGCAGTCCCTCATTTTACTTTTCTATGCAAAGCGATATTTTTTAATTCACCGCTGTAAGCACATGTATTCAAATAAAATTAATGATGTCTTACAATTACATTATTACATGAAGTCAGATACTCATTTGCATAGACAATCAATGAATGTACAACGATGTAATATAATCAATTTAACGTGCTGATGAAGCATTTTCTTTTATCAGGGATGAGCTACTGCTTTCTATGTTGACATGTCCAAAATAATAACAACAGTACAATATAATCTATATTATTTTAGAGTTGATTTCCTCTGTGTCTGTAAGTTTCCTAGATATTATAACTAGAACGGTGTTATTACAACCTACTGTTTTATTACTATCACAGTGGGCGGGGTTGCCAAACGCTCAGCGGCAGTGCTGGCGGTGCGATCCCCGTGCTAAATAGAGCCAGGCCTGCCTTCTCGGTATGTGCTCATCCGGGTACTTCTGGGTCCACCACGTAACCTCACGTAACTCGACCTAAATCCTCAGATTAGTTTCCTTTTACCAGACACTTTAGGGGATGTCTTTAACTCATGTAATGCTAAAGTGCACCCATAACACAAACCGTTGAGAGAATACGACTGATAATCGGCCTTTAGATCATTCACAACAACAGCTGCAGATGTCATGTAATCAGCGGTAAGAAAGCACATTATTTAAACGTGACAGAAACACGTTGTATAACGATGGAGGCTGACCAATCAGAGCGCTGCATTTCTCCCTGCGTCGTCTCCTTGGTCGAGATGTTGAAGGAGGTTTTGCTTGTCAGACGTGTTTACCAGGCGTTACAATGTATCCACTGTTATAATTACCGTGTTATCGAGGACGGATGTGCGGTATCTTATGTGTAGACTATCGTTACATGCGGAGACAAACCGGAGCTATTTCAGCGTTTTCTACTTGTTTGCGAGCGAGTAGTTACATGGGCTTCACTCACGCCTCGCGCGACAGCTAAAGAAAAAAAATACATCATTTTAAACATCGCTGCTGGCTGAAAACGTGTTTCTTCTGAACGACTTGAATCAACGTCCATCGTTGCTACTGGTCAAGAGTTTGGCCGTTTTTCTCGCGTCTGCTGCGGGTGTCTGCTGTCCCACTTTGCAGCTCAGGAGACGCACCTCTGTGTTTGAGTTAATGGAGCAAGGTTAAGGTCTGACCAACCAGTACCACCACCGGTACCACTCCACCAACCCACTGACCAGGTTCAAAGCTTGGACTCGGTTGTGAATGGACACTTCACTATTTTGCTGTTTTGTTGTTATTGGGAATCCCCCACCCTCCTTGCTACACAACTGGGAATAAAGAAAGAAAGAAAGCAGGCGACATGGTGGTCAACACCATCCACTGGTTCCGGAAGGGACTCCGGCTGCACGACAACCCGTCTCTAAGGGACTCTATCCGGGATGCGGACTCCCTGCGCTGCGTTTACATCCTGGACCCCTGGTTTGCAGGGTCCTCCAATGTGGGCATCAACAGGTGGAGGTAAACTAGACGTGAGAGCGAGGGGGGGTGATAGGTGGGTGGAGGGTTAAACAGAATATGTGTCTGCACCTCACCCCAGATAACCCAGTTTAACTCTGCTTATCCATCCAATGGTCTCACTAACACTGACTTAACCACCTGTCTGGCTGTCCAAATGGGTCAGATGTTCGCAGTTCTGGATAATTCCTAGGCAGTGTTTTTGCACATTCTTTACTGTGAAACTAGATATTAAAGAGTATAACTAATGTGTAATATGTCCCACTCATCTTAATCAGTTATACCTATTGCTGTTAAAAGGTGTCTTGCTGCAAATCTGGCACCTGTAACAGACAACATGCTCTATGATAGCTTCTAAAATTGTATAGGGATTTATATCTTCACACCATTTGGTGTGTTTTTTATGTTTTAGATGAGTTGGACACAACAGCTAAATGTTGCTCTATATAATGAACAGTTCATGACTTTGTAAACAGTCTGTGTTTCTCTCAGTGTTTACATGTCACCATGTGGAGGTCACCATATGGTCACTCCCCCCTGAGTTGTAAACAAGTAACAGCAAGTTTTCACAGAGTGCCGAAAGAAAAACACAAAAGGTCTAACATAGCCTACAGTTTACTGAATGAAACCTGTAATACAATCTGAATATTTAGTTTACAAACCTGTCCATAGACATTGTTTTGTTTGACCTTTATTTAACCAGACAGGATTTATTCATTTGAAGTCCTCGTGATTTTGATTAGGCTGACGTATCCTGCTTTATAATACAAAGTACAATAATACGGGATGTTATAAAAGATGACTGGGACTATTTGTCTTCTTCGTTCCAGCATGTATTAGTTTTCATTTTGTTCTCAGTCCTCCCAATGAGGACCAATAATCCACAGAGCGTGATGAGCTTGGCATCTTCATTTCTTTGGATTCAGCCGTCGGCATGACCGCATCAGTTAGCCACCCAGTAGCTTTGGTAACGTTCTGCAGACAAGGAGCTGCTCATTTAGCTAAAATACAACTAATGGAAGTAAATGATAACTATATAAAGAGATGTATAATAATCGAAGAGAGCGAATTTTACAAATAGTCTGACGTTTTCCTCGAGTCTCTCCTCTGCTGACGTTCAGATGGCGCATTGTATCATTGACTGTAGTCCTGCTTTGACCTATGTGTCCTGTGAGGAGGTGTTTAAGGCAGTAAGCATGCACTATACCACGATGACAACACATTTTTCCAAGCTTACTAACTCTGATGCTCAGCCCTAAACGGAAGAAATTGGGTCAGTGTTATGGTGATTACATCATCACCACTACTTCACTATTTTGACCTACATTAAACGCACACACACGCACTCACCAGACCCTCTTTATAGTCAGCTACACCTCCTCCTCATTTACCTTGAGCACACTATCTCTATAGATTGTCCAACATGACCGTGGGCACATTCCCTTACAGATGGCACACTCGCCGTTGTGTTAAGTGCAGTTGTCTGTCTGCTACTGCTCTTGGCGACATTATGCCAGAGCTGTGTACGGTCCACTGTGTGTGTGAAAAGACTTCACCAGCAGAGGGCTGCCTGTTCACATTCAAACACCTCACTTTCACGCACTCTCTTCATTGATGAGAGATTTTTGTTCTGTAGCCTTTATGTAATACTTTGTAAATATCACTGATGGTCACAATTTTAATTTTTTATTTTATTTGGTCATTTGTGCACATGAGCCGTATGGATATGTCTTTTATTTTAAAGTTTTGATTAAAAGAAATAGCCGAAAAGATTATCTATCGCTAAATCGGACATTGTCAAAATGTGGTGACAAAAGTATTGTTGCGTACTGTAACGATGGAGGCTGACCAATCAGAGCGCTGCATTTCTCCCTGCGTAGTCTCCTTGGTCGAGATGTTGAAGGAGGTTTTGCTTGTCAGACGTGTTTACCAGGCTGCCGCACCGCTGTACTTTAGAGCAGCTTTCAGGCACTTTAATTCATACTTCATATATAATATAGTTTTGTTTTTGTGTCTATTTTCTTAGGCAGCATAACGGAAATACAAACTGCATTTAATCTTGTAACCCTCTGGTTTATAATCAATTACTTGATCATCCAGTCTCCTGGCTGCTCCAGGTTTTTGTTGCAGTGTTTGGAGGACTTGGATGCCAGCCTGCGCAAACTCAACTCCCGCTTGTTTGTCATCAGAGGCCAGCCTACAGATGTCTTCCCTCGGATTTTTAAGGCATGATCGATGTCTTCTACTTTATGCTTTGTAATGAAATAAACTAGCTTTTTGAAATGATTTTAACATAATGTTATAGCTCATGTAGCAGTGGCTGAAAAACAATGGAAAATGTTTACGGTACACTTGTGCAATTGCCCTCCCAAAATGATTGCTTGAAAATTAAATACGAAGATATTTCATTTTTTTTCAGTCATAAAAGTCGCCTATGACCCCAGCTACATATTAAGTGCCCTTACATGTTGTCTTGAAGCCAAGTTTGAAGTTAAAAAACAATTTGTTGCTTGTAAAAAATAACATTCACTATAATCAATGTGGTCAGTCCATCGTTTTCATGCATGTCCTTACAGAATACAACAATGAATTGTATCTGTTGCTGTCCCTCAGGAATGGCAGATTAACCGTCTATCTTACGAGTATGACTCTGAGCCGTTTGGCAAGGAGCGTGATGCTGCCATCCAAAAACTAGCCAGCGAGGCTGGGGTGGAGGTCATGGTGCGGACTGCTCACACCCTCTACAATCTGGACAAGTGAGTGACTTTACAATTTTAGTTGAAGCAAATGTCCCATAGTTTGAAACACTGTTGCTTTTCCCCTCCTGCTTTGAGTTTGTGAAGACTTGTTTTGATTTCCTTTACATTTGTCTTTCCTAAAGGATCATAGAACTCAACGATGGTCAGTGTCCTCTCACGTACAAGCGCTTCCAGGCCCTCATCAACCGTATGGATGCTGTGGAGCTGCCTGCAGAGACGATCACATCCGAGGTCATCAGAAAATGTGCCACACCCATCAGCGAAGACCACGATGACAAGTTTGCGGTGCCCTCCCTGGAAGAGCTTGGTAAGTTTTATTTATTTGATATATATGTATATATATATATTCATTCATGCACCTAACAAACTTACAAATAATAATAATAAAGTCCCAGACTTTGAACAATTTTTGAATATTGTGCTTTTTCAGGTTTTGAGACCGAGGGCCTGACCACAGCAGTTTGGCCAGGTGGAGAAACAGAAGCCCTCATGAGGCTAGAGCGGCATCTGGAGAGAAAGGTAAAAATACATTTTACTACACAGTATAAGCACAAAATAAGAAGTTAATACAGTTATGATTAACTTTAGATTGAGTGCTTACTTAGCTTAAGTCATTACATACTTATGGAGACTGAGCCAAGACACATTTCTAAATAGAAATAGACGCAGGTTGATGGTGATCAAACACACGAGGTCTATCTTGACAACATCAGTGTCAAAAATCTAAGAAGGTTCATCTATGAACCTCATGTAACAGTTATCCGGTTTGTACAGTCATTATTAGAGTCAGAGATTCTTCATTCAGGTTGATTTATTTTTTTTGTCTAGAATGGGGACAAATGAGATCAGTTTCTTCATAACTAGAAAGAAAAGATTGATCATCGTAAAAAAACATGGATGACTAATGTAGTTTTGACGAGACGATTCTCGGATTTGCACACACCGTGTTTATATGCTATATCACCATCAACAGCGTCTTTGTTTCGCCTCTTTTCAGCCTCAGTGTTTGAGTCCTGAGACTTAAATGTTTCACTTGATGTCTGTCATGTGTTTTCTCTCAGCGATCACAGTGGGATTATATTAATCAAACGTTGACTGACCTGTTTTTTCAGGCATGGGTGGCAAACTTTGAGCGTCCACGGATGAACGCCAACTCCCTGCTGGCCAGTCCCACAGGCCTCAGCCCCTACCTGCGCTTTGGATGTCTCTCCTGTCGGCTCTTCCACTTCAAACTTACTGATCTTTACAGGAAGGTATGAAGGACCACAGACAAGAAACAACACAAACATTTCATATTTGGAAAAAGCCATTTCACGTTTTATCATAATTTACTTTCACTCAGATTTATGTTGATGTGAGAAGCATAAGCTGAGGCACTACTCTGTGATATAGGCATTAAAATGACTACACCGTCTACATCTTAAAATCATGATGAAGTATAGCTTTTTCTAAGACTGTGTGCTCTATCTTATCAGGTCAAGAAGAACAGCACTCCACCACTTTCCTTGTACGGCCAGCTGTTGTGGAGGGAGTTCTTCTATACGACTGCCACCAACAACCCCTGCTTTGACAAGATGCAGGGAAACCCTGTTTGTGTGCAGATCCCCTGGGACCGAAACCCAGAGGCGCTGGCTAAGTGGGCAGAGGGAGGGACAGGCTTTCCCTGGATAGACGCCATTATGACCCAGCTGAGGCAGGAGGGGTGGATCCATCATTTGGCGAGGCATGCTGTGGCCTGCTTCCTCACCAGGGGAGACCTCTGGGTCAGCTGGGAGGAAGGCATGAAGGTATGAACAGAGAAAAGGGATCTAGTATCTGAGTATCTAATGTGCCTATCTGCTGCTGTCCTGATGTTTCTTGCTCTGATTGAAGCTACTAGCATGCATTGTCTCAACTGTCCACTGTCTGTGTCTTGTACAGGTGTTTGAAGAGCTGTTCATAGACGCGGACTGGAGTGTAAATGCTGGCAGCTGGATGTGGCTTTCGTGCAGTTCATTTTTCCAGCAGTTTTTCCACTGCTACTGCCCTGTGGGATTTGGACGACGCACGGACCCCAATGGGGACTTCATACGGTCAGTCAGTACTTCCATCTGCATCACATGAACATAAAAGCACCTTTCAAAAGCTCATGATGTCGTGGGTATTTGTGCTCCCTGCAGTCATTTCAAATGGGGAACTAATATCTCATTGTTAGCTTGTGGTCTTCTGTAGCCTCACATGGGGGGACTGATTTGTCAAGGTTTGTCACAATATAGTCATGTGAAGTAATTGAACAATGAAGCAAATTCTGTGAACTAATTTAAAGAGCCAATATTAATTTAGAAAAGAATGAGCTTTCACAGTCCGTATTACTGGACGTGAATAACTTCAAATCCACTGCAACATTACTACAACTTATCAGACAACACGTACGTGTATCTGTAGTGTGCTGCAATATTCTACTTTACCTTGTATCATGTTCCACACATCGTTTATCCTCCAAATCCGTCTTCATTCTCTTCTTTCTCTGCTTCTAGGCGTTATTTGCCCATATTGAGAGGCTTTCCAGCCAAATACATCTATGATCCTTGGAATGCCCCAGAGGAAGTGCAGAAGGCAGCCAAGTGTATCATAGGAGTCCACTACCCAAGGCCCATGGTGAACCATGCTGAGGCCAGCCACGTCAACATAGAGCGCATGAAGCAAATCTACCAGAAGCTCTCCAGCTACAGAGGACTGGGTAGGGACACGAACCAAATATATAAAACCTCAGACTCACCCTCTCCTGCCATCATTGTAATGCATTTCAAAATATCTGGAAACACAGGTTGCGTATTTATACAGATAAAACAAAGTTCAAATGAAAATGGCTTTTCCTATATATAGTTCTGACTTTTTAGTCACTCACGCAATCCAGGATTCCCAATGAGACCTGTTATGAGACCCAACCCCATACACCACGATGATGGACTGTAGCTCTGAGAGCTTACTTGTTCTTTGATTCGGAGCGATTGCTTTGCCTTTCGACGAATGCAAATTACACAACATTGCAATAGAATACAGCACAACTAGATAAATGCTTCTGTTGTGCGATCGATAAGGGGCAGTGTGCAGATAAAACCCCAGTAATAGCTCTGCTGTTTTGTAGCAACTATACAGGCACAAAAACATCTGGCTGTCAGATGTAGAAACACTTTCATGAGACCAGAAATATAGAGCCACGGTTTCATTATAGTTGTGTAAATTAAAATCTCTTTGTCTCCTTGCAGGTCTGCTGGCAACAGTACCTGCAAATCCCAGCAATGGTGCGAATGGCAGTAGTGTCGGAGGAGTCCACTCAGGGACCAGTCATGGTCCGGGAGGGTCCTCTGAAGGCCTCTCCACATATGCAGGAATATCTCGAACAGGTATGTAGGTTGGATGGTTAACATTGTCATTGGTTAAAATACAGTTCTTTGAATGTTAATACAGTACATACATTTCAAATTGTACAAGATACTAACATGTTATTTACGCAGAGTCATTACACATGGCTAAAACTGATACCCATGAAACTTGGGTCAGCTGGCAGTGTGATATCAAATATTTGCCATCCCTAGCCTGCAGGATTTGGGAACTGAATATTGAGCTTTATTACCGAACACGACTAAACTACTGCTCCCAAAACAAGCCAGATGTAATTACAGACATCTTTACAAGTACATACTGCACATAACCAACCAGTGCATGTATATCCATTCAGCATTTATTTATTTATTTCTTCAATGTTTGTTTATAACTCACAGAACACCGAAAGCATTCCCTCCTATTTTCCTCTACTTCTGTAGATAACTGCATAACAGTCCTGTCTGTTTTTATTCTGTGCACGTATACTTGGCCAAATGAAGCTGATTCTGATTCTGATATTCAAAAACAATAAAATGACCTCAGCCAAGTTGCTGAATTGCAAAAGAAAGTAGCAGCTTGATAGGTTTATTCACTTCACTGTTCTAATTTATTGACTTTAGTGTTTTATGTTTTAATGCAGAAAGAGGTAATTCCACGCAGAAGCGGTGCCGTGAAGAAGCTCCACCCAAAATCAGCTCTAAATCCTGGAGGCAGAGCAACTAGTGTGCAAAAAGCAGAATATAAAGGGTCGCTCAGTCATCGGCATATCATCTTCTCCTGAAGCACCCTCAGCTGACACACTGTAGTAACTTTAACTAACAACCATGGATAGATCCATAGATCCATAACAGGTCTTGGTCTCCGGATTGGACACATCGCACATCTCAGGAACCATGGAAGGAATTCAGAGACAATGCTAACATTGAAGAGCGAGAACCCTGTAAAAGCGGAGTAGAAAAGGATGAAAACAATTGATCTATCAAGTCTTAAAACCAATTGTCTTCCACTACAGTATGTAACTGTACAACAGTTAAAACCACTAGTCATGATCACCAACACCCCACATCAGTCAGGCATTGGGGTGAAACTGTAATTCAGCGGATTATTAAATCAGCTGAATGTTTATCTAGGCTTCACTTCTCATATATAGTGAGCTGGATATTTTTTTTTAATACCTGACTGCTTCGGCCTCTACATCTTGATGTGAAAATGACAAAATATGAAATCTCATTCCCATCTGAGTGATGGGGAAACAACAACACAATCCGGAGAATGTGGAAGATTTCTTGTTTATGGCTGACACCCTCAGCCACTGTTGACACTGAGACATATGACCGAGATAACACACGGTTGTTGAATATTAGAAGGAAGGCTGTCAGGTTTGACGATACAGCAGACCATTTTACATTTTGTAAATATTTGTTTTAATTTCCAACTTTTTTTTATATTTGGTTCTGTGGTTTCTAAACTACTTTTGTAAATAATGTGTAACCAAAACTCAAAGAGTTCCACTGTGAATGCATGTGCTTTTGTCTCCCAGGTGATTGTAAATGTATTATTTTTGTATAAAAAATGACCAAATTCTAACTGTATTGAAATGGCAATAAATGACCTATCCTTTTGTTTTTTACTTGAACATTTTACTTGCAGTCGCCTGTATTTGCCCTTATACACTGTATGTGAACTTGAGACAATTAGTTTGAGATAGTGTGTTGCATATCACATCATTTCCCACATATGTTTGTTTACCTTTCATCTAGTTTTCCTCAAATGTTGCAGATATTTATACAAATTTGAAGTAACCTATAGTAGGTCCACTGGTGGACTCGGAGGGGCGTTTTCAGTGGAGAAAACACAATGAAGTGACTTCTTGGAGAACCTTACAGTAGATATAAAATGCCCTATGGTGCCTTTCCAGAGGAGAAAACAAAGTGTGTTTTTGGATGCTGCAATGGTAATGATAAAACATGTTAAATTGCCTTCTGGAGTGTGCTTCAATTGGAGGAAACGCAAAGAAGTGCCTTCTTGGATGCCTCTACGTAGATAAAACATGATTAAGTGCTCTCTAGGGTGAATTCCCAGAGGAGAACGCATGATGAAGCTCCCTCTTGGATGTCCCTATGGTAGATAAAACAAGAAAGTGCCTTCTAGGATACCCTTCCAGTGGGGAAAAAAACACAATGAAGTGCCCTCTTGCTACCCTTTCCAGTGAAGATGTAGTGCACTAATCGGTGCCCTTAGATAGAGAAAACGTGATGCAGTATAGGCTTATAGTCATATTTTAAGTAAAGCCATGTGTTAATTACCAACCTTTCTATTTTTTTATTTATTTAATCGGCGGCAATTCTCACATAAGATACCCAACCTTTGTCAGGAGTTTATCAAGTATTAAAATCTATCTGTGTGTGTTCTCCCAAGTTTATTTCTCTGCTTTTCTTTGCCTGCTCGAGGGAGCCTATAACGAATTACCGTGACGGTCTTGTGAGCGAATCACGTTGCTGTGGGATCACACGGTCGGTGTTAGCTTCGGTGTGGGGAAGTTGGCTCTGTTGTGCTGTCGAGACACACTGTGAAGGTTGGAAGCTTAAAATCCCCTCGAGGATGCACTGCATCTCCACCGTGTCCAATAACAGCTCCCGGGGTCGGTGGGCGGTGATAGCTCAGATCAAGCCTCTATAAGTTGTCCCCTCGCGCGTTGAGGAAGTACGGTCTTGTTTCTGTGATTGCTTGAGTTGGAGACAGACATGGACGGGGACAAAGTGCAGAAGAAGCCTGTTCGCCTCATTGCAGCGGTCTGCAACGGCAGGGGCATCGGGAAGGATGGACAAATGCCCTGGGACTTACCGTAAGAGTGAAACCGTTTGTGATGACGTCTGTTAAACGCTTAATGCTGTCAGGAAACGCTGTGCAGCCTACCTGTAATTAAGGACATCCTTTAATACAGGTAGGCTGCTATGTCGCGGGACAGCTTGTTTTATATAACGTTAGCCCATAAGCTACAATAGGCCTGCAACTGTCTTGATAGTATACATGTGTAGCCCATCAGTGATTGCTCCATTTGTGTGCAGCTCAAAAGAGAGTCAATAGTCTCCTGTGTATTTTATCAGTCATCAGTCACATGCCTTTTCTGAACTGTTCAGCTCAGGGATCTCAAACTCAAGGCCCGCGGGCCGAATCCGGCCCGCCACGTCATTTTATGTGGCCCGCGAATCCGCCAGCAAAAAAAAAAAAAAAAGTTAAAAAAAATTAAATAGAAAATGAAATAATTAAAAGTTAGACTTGATAATACAAATATCCCCATAGTCGAAATTATGAGACAGAAAGTCATAACTATGATAGAAAGTCATAACTCTGAGATAGAAAGTCAAAATGATGAGATACCTAAACAGGCAGTCACAGAAGCAGCTCTTTGGCTGGTTACTGTACATTTGAAATGGAAATGTATTGTGAGTACATTGAAGACTACTTTAAACGTGGCTTTAAAACACATGAAATACTTCACGTGGGATTGTGCAAACGCACCCTTGAAAGGATTTTAAGCGTTGAACAAAGTTATTGTAATAACTTGTGTTTGATATTCGTCTTTGATATTTTCTTTAATATTTTGATCTTTGACAGAGTAATGTGGGTTTCTTAACCCTACATTAAAAGGATTTAAGTTATAATAACAGAAATTTATATAACTGCATGTACAATATTTTTACACTTGAATAAACAATAATCAAATGCAGAGACTGTTATTGACCAATATGTTAGGAGTAGTTACATTTACACCGTCTTACATTTACAACCGGCCCTTTGTGGGCGACCGTGATGCTGATGTGGACCAGAGTGAAAATGAGTTTGAGACCCCTGGAACTTTAGCTATTAGCTTGCATGTCATTCTCTGCAAACCTCAAGGTAAAGTTTAAAGAAAAGTTTAAAGGCTTTTAGCCGATGAAAGCAGCTGCTAATAATGATTTTCACTAGTTAATTAATAGTCCATAAATATATACCAGTGACGTGAGTAATAATGCTTACTTTGTTGGATCAAAACTACATGATACAATGAAACTGGCGTAAACACCTGTGACCAGAGGAATGTTTGGTATTTTTAACTGACAAATGTCAAATGAAGTTGTTAAAATTGTCATTTAATTCCTGAGTATGTCGTTAATGAATCAAAAATGCTGCAGCACTAGTTGCAAAGTTAACTGGTCTGCCTTCTAGCAGCAGCTATATGCTGAAGTTACCAGTGATGTCAAGGTGTAGTACAGCAGCAGTACAAGTGGGGAGTATAGTGGTGCAGTAGAGCAAGTAGCAGCAGTACTGCTAGACAGTAGTTATAAAAGTGGTGCCTCATGGGGAGTAGAGTTATGTTGTAGAACTACACTGTATTCACTCGGGCATCATTTGTTCTGTGTGGAAACTATAAGCAGCAGTACAAAGGGTTAATGAGCTTGGTAACAGAGCTGACTGCAATCATATTTAAAATGTGACTCTTGCAGATCTGAATTCCAGAACTTTAGGAACCATGTCCTGGGGGTGTCGAGACCAGGTAATCCTCAACGTCAATATTACATCATATTAAAGCCGCCTTATATAGGGCTGGGTTTTATTCCAAATGTATTATATCTCAATATTTATCATGATATGAAATTACATAAACCATGATACAAGATTTTATCCATATTCACCCCTACTTGATGAAATTAATTTGGTACTTGAAACTGTCAAGGTTTTGAAACCCAGTCCTGTGCCATGTGCCACAACAAGACACGTGAGAGCTGCAATAGTTTGGACTTAAGTGTCAAATATCTGATTCTTATCTGTTTCAGGAAAGCTGAACTTGATGGTTTGGGGGAAACTGTGCTGGTACTCCGTCCCAAAATCTGATTTTCCTCTGGCCAATGTGCTGCATGCGGTGCTGAGCACAACAATGGAGTGAGTGCTCGCTCACACAAATACCTGCATCAACAAGGGCAACAAGATATTTGGGGCCGTCCACAAAAGATTCTAGGTTTTCATGGTCACTCGTCCTTCTCAATCTAACGGAGATATCTCCTCTTACAGGACGGTTCCAGATCACGCCCACTTCTTGTGTCCAGACTTGGACAGTGCTGCCCGTCTGGCTGCACAGCCCCCCCTCGCTGACTTGATTGAGACCATCTGGGTTGTTGGAGGGACGCAGGTCTACGAGGTAAACCTGAGCATTGAGCTTTCCCTCACGCATGTTTCCACAAACCTGTTATCCAGCAGTCCCAACTTCAATCTGGTCTACTCAGTCACAGTAACCAAACTCTTTGTTTTGCATTGGTATGTATGTCATTTGGTGAGCACTAACTTTAGACAACATGCAAGATATTGACAGAGTAACAACCCGTAGTTCAGCATGGATCTAACCTCTAACATGAACTCCCAGCAGCAGGGTTGGTAAACAGGTGTGCCAAGTGGAGCTGCAAAGTTGTGTTGTGCAGCTTAGATTCCTTACTACTTATGTCAGTATGTTTCCTCTCTCATTAAAAGATCATTCATATCTCATATTGTGTTAAAATACACATGGAAAAGCCCGGTTATTAGTACTGTTAATGTGACCGAGTTCTCTGTGGCTTCTTGTTTATGATCAGGATGCGCTGAAGCACCCGTGGTGTGACTTGGTTTACCTGACAGATGTCATGGCAGACTTTGACTGCAACATTTTCTTCCCTGAGTTTGACACAGAACTCTTTAAAGAACAAGAAGGGTATGTGTTCGTCTCATCCTCAGATTGTTATAGAGCAGGTTGTTCAAACCACTGAGGCTGAATGTGCTGGTGTTGAAAGGTTAATAGTTACGAAAGCGTGCTTTTTTACATGCAAAGTTATTTTATACATGTCAAGCCTCCCTTGAGAGAGTTGTTAAATTGTAACTTTCAGAATGTTTTGGTTTAAATATTTCATCTCAATAGGATTTACTGACATCAACACTTACTTCAATTACACTGAATTTGATTAGTGAATTAGCAAATAATGTTCAATAAAGGTAGCTTCTTACCTTGGTTTTGGTATTTTCTTAGTTTCTATGGTTTTCTATTATTCTACTTTACTGTGGCTTTCTTCCACAATGAAAGCTCATTTATGTATAGATATCGTTTATCTATTCAATTATTGTATTTGACAGCTTTTTGCCCCTTTTTTTTTTTAAATTAACTCACAAAACCGTTTTTCTTCTTGTTTCCAAACTAGATTTCCTGATGTACCGACTGGAATCCAAGAGGAGAACGGCATTAAGTACAGATTCCAAGTATTCAAGAAAGTGACCGGTGACGCGGTGTAGACAACTAACGGAGAGTCAACGTCATAAAATGCCTTGAAAACCTGTCGAGATTTTTTGCAGAGTCACCTCCTGGATAGACTGTGGAGACATGCTGCCAAAACTCAAACCCACGGTGCGTCGTCATATCTTTGTAAAAGCCAAAGTCTTGCTAACACTCTTTGTCGTAGTCATTGAGCATTCCAGTGTAAATGGGACCTTTTTATACTCTTTGTAATCAATGAGATACTTTAAACACAAACACTGTAAAAGTGGTCCAGTTTGTCGAGCCAAGTCTTCTTCCATCGATGCTGCTTGGTAGGACATCATGATCTGCTCTGTTTTTTTATTTTTAAATCCCCTGCCACCCTCTGTTGTCAGCATTCGCATCTCGTCATTCTCCTCAGCAATATTGCAGCTGCACAGAGAATATGCTTGTCAGTCGGCCTGTGTGGATGACAGCTTGTGCTCTGGGTAGCTCAGCAGATCTGGTCCTTTCCAAGCCAACATGACAGATGCCTGCTTAGAAAGCCACAAGTGAATTGTCCTACTGGTTTGTTTTTTTTACTGTGCAGTCTTTTGTAAATCTAGGAGGTTTTTCTGAAAATAAATCAAGTTTTTAATGGAGTAACAACTGACATTTTGTGAATTCATTTTTAACTTTATTCATCCGGCGTTATGTGATCCTTCTGCCACTAGATGGAGGCATATCAATGTGACAACAAACAGAAAGCCAACCTATATGCTGGTGACTGATTAACAATACATACCAGATTTTACCACCAACTTTGATAGGTTACACAGGCCATTAACAGTATCTGTACCCTCTACATCTATTGGGTATTGATAGTCTTTGACTCATAATGGTCACGACGACTTTACTACATATCGAAGTTATAGATTTACAGCGATTACATGCAGGTTTGAACATGTAACAACAAGTAAGATAGTCGTCTGTTGTGACTCTGTCAGCACTGCCAAGCATAAAACAGGATCAGCAAGAAATCAACAAGTATATTTACTCATTCAAGGTTTGGCAGTCAGGGGAAAACATTGTGTTTACGTGGGAATATGAGACAAACTGGTACAGGTTAGAAGCGCTTTATTCACATTTTTTGGATGAAACGGGTTTATCCAGAATATAACTTTTTTTTTTTTTTTTATACTATTGTTTTATAATGAAAAAGCTGTCGTAAAGCCATGATGTTTCATACTCCGGTACAGCAGGTGGTAGCTTGCAACTTTAAAGCTGGTATGTAGTCTGCCATTTACTTAAAACAAGAAGAAGAAAACTACCTGCAAGAGGAACTCAAGCTGCAGCGTTGGTTCAGACCGGTGGAGTGAGGCAGGTGCACACGTCTTTACAATAACCGTTGGCGTCAGTGCAGAGAGAAGACGAGAGGGCAACATGGTAAACCTGTGTGACAGGTGTGAACCTGTGTAACATGTAGTGTTTTCATGTATTTCAGACCTGCTTCCCTGTTGGGTTGAAGGCGGCTGTTAGTGTGGAAGTTTTTATTGGACTTGAATAGTTGTAATCCCCAGATGACTAAATAAATGTTTACCATTATGCACAAATATTTCACTATACATAAACATATCTACCCCCCCACCCCACAGCTTTGCTATTATGTGTAATTTACTTTGCAAGCACGTATTTTAATTTCAATCATAAATGTAATAGGTTTATGTGTACAAAGGATAGCTGCATTAGTACACATTAAATAACTTCTGCACATCTGTGGACTGCTTCCTGTTCGGTTTGTGGGCCATGTGACATTTTTGACCTCCCTTCTTTTTGCTGGTGAACTGTGTGTAGTTCATTTGTGCCACAGCAGATCTGTAAACATCCACTATTATGAGATGCAGTTACTAGCTACACCAGGAGGTGGCGACATTACGTCACATGAGCTGACGGAACGACGGTGTAATAGGCTACTGATAGGAGACTAAGACAAGAGTCTACCTAATATCTTCATCCAAGAGGTGACGGACAAGGTGCAGCATCATTATTCAACCCAACAGTTGAATGTCCGCATTGTTCAAAGACGAGCTACATTCTGTTTGTTTCACTAATGAAGGAAAGAGAGGCGGTTAACTCTGCCTACATGCATTTATTTGATCTAATTTGTAAAGTATTTAACATGTTTGTGTGGTCCTATTGAAAACAAGATGTTTTTATTAGCACATACATAAAACAAACTTGTGATTTATCAAAGGTATCTCTCAGAATGGCTGGTTTATCTATTTAAGATCATGTAAGGTGATGCAGAAATGGCACTAAAAACAGTCAGGAACTTTGATTCACACACAAATATACTCTTCTCAGGATTTATAGATGCGTCCTTTTGTGAATTGAGTCGTGCTGGCTTTTCTTTTCTTTTTTTAAGTGGGTACCTAGAGGTACCTAAAGGTTGGGAACACTGCCATAGACTGTAGTTCTGTCAGCTTATGATCCTCGCCACCTTTTCTTGATTATTTTCCAGTTCTGCTTTGGTACCAATTGGACAAACGTCCACAAACAACAAGGAGGAAAGTCACAAATGTCACTTGGCTCTAAAACCAAACACGAAGTGATCCATAAAAATGGATCCACAAATATGTATATATCACTTTACATACAAACCATTTATATGTGAAATTCAAATATGTTGACCGAGTAAATTATGCATATTTGCAAATTGCTCTGTATTTTTGTAAATGTACATTTTTTTTTTAATTCAATGTTTGTGGATTATGAAATATTTGTAGATCATAGTACACATTTGTGGATTGACTTCTGTTGAAGTCCAATAAAAACATCCAGATGTGCCAGGCACACACACCAATTAACTTTTAATTGGTGTGCATTTTAATATGTGGCAATAAAGTGTTTTTAAGATTGTTAATATTTGTTCAGAGCCCGGCTCACTTGCCGCCCTGGAAAGTGAGCCGGTAGCAGGCAAAAATATATGGGTATTACAGCTAAGTAGCTATGCCATGCAGATGTCAATTCAAAAGTCATAGTATAGTATGTTGAAAAAAAGTCACAAAGTGATAGTATAGTATCTCAAACAAAATGTACGTAGTATAACTTTCTACTTAGTTTGCACAGAACTCAGTTGAACTTCACTGTGTTAGCGTACATGCCCAAATGTATCTTTCCTATTGTGCAAAAGAAGAATTCACCCTTGCCTCGTGCAAAGATAACTGTGTTGTATGAGAATGTTGCAGCGCCAAGGCCGTCCCGTCGCTTTTTTTGGTTGCTGGCCGTTTGTTTTTCATTGTTGTTTTTATCAGTCTGAGAGCAAAACATCTGTAACATTGACCCCCACCTTTGCTCCTTCTGTATAAAGAAGCAAAATTACCGGTAGTGACAGATGAGCCAATGTTTCAAAATTGTGACCCTCAGATTGCAACGTTCAATATAGAAAGTTATTTACTTTTTGTGCATTGAATATCCATCACTGTGACATTTATTTACCTTCCGCAGCATGTCGGCGTTGTTATATTTGGATTCTCCCATCTGGGCGCAGGTAGGAGTCGCTACTCGAGTGACAAGTTATAACAGAAAACAAACGTTCTGGCAAAGGTGAGAAAAGTGGAGTTCAAATCACAATCTATGATGTTTATAGAAGTGATGAAACACCAGAGCCATAACAACATCAGATTAGCCGTGTTTAAGGCTGGAAATTAGTATGTAGGGAAACCAAACACGGATTTTAAATGTATATTGTAACTTTAGGTTTTCCTTTGTGGTGAAAAGTCTTTGAATATTGTGGATTAACACAGATGCAATAAAGTTTCTTTTTCTCCTACATTAGTCGCCTTTGATAATAATATTTACTGCAGCAGCGGTCGTCCAAAGCTCTGGTTTCAGCTGGAAATCATAGCCTTTTAATTGCAGATGTCATCTGTTTCAGGTGAGGTATGACCCATAAAAGCAATTTGTTAAGCGTGGCTAATACCTACCAGCGTCGTGTTTGAAATGAAAATGGACAATTTACACTCCATCTTATTAACCTCTCTGGCTCGTGTGTGTAATTCAAAAGCACAGCACGGGTTGAAACAGCAACAGAGGACAAGAGGACATGCCGGTAAGTAATAGCGGTAACTTGCATTTACTGTACACACCTGAGGCCTCGTCTCATCTGCCTCACATTGATGCATCCTGATTACCTCCATGTATTTATTGCTCTGCACCACTGAAAGACCTTGCAACACAATGTATTTGAGGAAAATGTCTCTGTTGTCTCTGCGTAAAATAAGAAACCTTCAGTACATCAAGCTGCGGAGCACTCGAGGTACTGTTGTTGCCCCTCGGGGGTTCCATGTTGTGAATGGTTTAAAAATGAACTCTAGTCGATCATCCATCTGCTGAGCTCGAATTCATTTCCAGATGCACTCACTTTCGCATCATCTGCCCAGTGGCTATCACCATGACTACAGAGCCATGCTGAGTGATGCAGGCGGCAGCAGATGGGCGGTGGAAGTCGTTCACGTACACCCGCCCCACACACACACACACACACACACCCTCAAGACATGCAAGTCCTCACTCTTTGTTGTGACCCCCATCCTCCACATTATGACAGCGCAGGAAGCTTCAGGCATAAAGTCATGGCTACATTAGCTGTGAAGCTCACTGCCATTAAAGGCACTCTTACGCATGTTTCGAGGGCTTTTGCTGGCTTTGAAACATTAGGACACATTAAGAAAAAAGACGGGGGACCAATTTACAAAGCAGTCTCTTGGTCTGACAATGCTCAGAAAGATATATATATATATATATATATATATATTTTTTGTGGCCTACGTCAAAATAAATGTAGGCACTAACCCAAAAGCGGTCTTTTTACCTTCATATGACACACATAAGACAGGAAAACCTTAATAAAGCCAAACATAGTGGAAAATCTATCTTGATTAAATGAACTGAAACTCGACTGCTTTTTGAATAAATATTGCAGAGGGAGTTATTTTTATCCTATGGTGTGTGTGCATGTGAATTCATTAGAAATGATATGACATTTCAGCAGTGAATCGTCTTCAATAAAGAGCCTCCATCCGTAAAGTAACACTAAAACTCTGAGACACAGTTAGATTTCCTCCCTGAGGAGAACAATAGTGCTGCCAAGAACATTGTGTGAAACGGAGGCACTTTACACAGGCTGGAAATAAAATGCTTTGAAAAGCCTCGTTTGTCCTCAGTTATACTCAGTAATACATTTGATAGACCAGTCGGCACGTCTGCCTTTACCCAGTTATGTCATGCAGCGTTTCATGTGAAGTCATTGTAATGAGGTAACTTGTAAATAAGCTGTAATAAATTCTTTATTTGGTGAGGGATGACATCTTCCCCAAAAAGCGTGACATATGTAGATGCCTTTGCTTTTTTTCTCCCTTTCATCCCTCTGGGAAGGTGTTACATAACCATTCTCATCTCTTACAATATCAATTTACACCTGCAGTAAAAGTGTGCTGCTTTCAGTGTGTACTGTTTGTAGATTTAATGCTTGAAATAAGTGCACCTTAAGACCTAAGGCACTGTAATCTGATACTGACAAAATATAGGTATAAATAATCACCAATACACTTTTACACAGCCTTAATTCACTTGCATGAGTCCATACAACCTCTGTCAGTCATCTGCTTTTAAAGGGGCGACAGGGTTGAAAATCGGCCTCTCTCTTTGTAACAGTAATTTTCCATAGCTCGTCTCAAAGTCCTTCTTAGTGCCGTTTAGGACCTCCAGGCTACCTGTCCTTATGTCGTAGCCGTGCACCCTCAGTCGCTGGATGCGATAGTTCACTATCTGCGTGGTCAGCTCCAGAACGGTCGGAGTCTCTTTGATTTGAGACATGCTGATCCCGGCGCTGAGGAGGCCCTTGAAGCGCTCAGCCACAATAATGTCAGGGTAGTAAAGCACGGCCGGGCAGTCGAGGATAATGTCCCGCAGCTCTGCCTCGGAGCAGCCCATGGTGTCCTGGGAGTACGCCAGAGTGCGGCGCATGCTGTCCGGGTTCAACCCGGTGACAAAGCCCCTGAGTTTGGACAGGAGGTGGAGGAGCTCGGCCGTGCTGAAGCCCTTGTCTCTCAGAAACAGCAGGTTTTGCCTCAGCACCTCGGGGGGCTTAAGGAGAACAAACGGGTTCTGACTCAGCAGCTTCTGAAGCCAGATCTTCATGTTGGCCTCATTACCCCCAAGGTCCTGGTAGGCCTGCTGCAGGGTGCGCACCATCAGCTCGTTCTGCTCTACCGGCCGACTGAAGCTCTGCGGCGCGCTGGCCATCAGCTTGGTGATGATCCGCTTGTTGAGGTTCAAGCTCTGAAAGTAGGCGATGTTGTTCCGCTGGTTGTCGTGGTGGCTCGACGAGGTGAAGAAGGAGGCTGGGAATTTCTCAATTATACCGACCAGCTCCTTGTGTTTTGGGCACACAGACATCCACAGCTCCCTCTGAGCCTGCATCTGCTCTGGGTGACAGAGGACAGCCTCAGGGTGGCCTGCAAGGATCCGGGCAATGATGGACCCCGAGGCTCCCATGTCCTTCAGCAGGTCAGCTACCTCCTTAGTATAAGCGGGGCTCTGATGCAGAACCCAGCTCTTTAGTTGCCGGACCTTCTGGATGTCCACAGAGAGATCAGAGAGAGCTTCCACGGTCTGCTGGTTCTCTGCTGAGCTCAGTGTTGCACATGGTCTCAGGTGTAAAGGTAGAGCTGTGGCACGTTGGCACCGGAGGCACAGGGACGTTGCGATCAAACGCAACATTGATGCGAAGTCCGAAATGCAGATCGCCTGAATGAGCGAGAGAAGAAGAAAGTGCAGTGGGTGACAAACCAAGCAGGCATATAACTATATATACATACTATATATACTATCTATTATCTATCTATCTATTAGCCCCCTGCTTTGACAGAGAGGCTACCCTGGTGTTTATTTTGTATGCTGTGTTGATAAACGCCATTCATCAAAGCTTTGCCTTAATAACACAGAAGATAACTGTTATTCTGCACAGCTGGTGCCAGATGTTTCATGTGGGGAAATGGAAAAGCAGGAGCTAAGTCAGTCCCAGTCAATGACCAGCAGGTAACACATGACTACATCTTCACGTCTCACTAGAGTTGGCGCGGATAAATAAAAGGCATTTAGTCCACGATTTCAAAATAAAAGACTTCTTGAATGACGTCCAGTATTGTATTTGGGTGTTAGGTGTTCAGCTCGCTAGTTAACTAACGTTAGCGGCTAGAAGAGGCACGAACATTGCGGGACATTGTGTGATTTCACCTCCTGACTTAACTGGTTAGTGGTTAGTATCGGTAACTGTTGACAGAGGTGTGTATGTTCAGAATCCAGCGAATATATCGACATTTTTGTTTAAAAAAGCGACTTACCTATAGCAGCGGTCAGAGGATGTGACGTTTTGTTATGAAACTGGTGTCTTCTTCTTCTACTATTAGTCTCTGTTGTTTTGTGCACCCACAGCGCCGCGCAGAGGCGGTGCCTAGTGGTGCAAAGCAGCGTAACTGAGAACTGATTAATTTAAATGTGACCCTGAAATAACTTCTTTCTTTTTTTTTTTAGGAAAATCACACAGAGCGTAGAAAAGTGTTTGATTGTATGCTCCCAATGCCCCATTTCATTCCTCTTTTCAAAGCTCTGCTCTTTTATTGCAGCCCATATGTCCAGTAATTAAATAATTCTGGCAAAACTCCGTTACTCAAACAGCAGTTGGTGCACCTCCAAACCCTGCAGCATACGGGGCCCTGATGAGCGTAATCAGCACAGGGCTGAATTGGACTGAACACACGGAGAGTTTTCTCACAGTTGGTGCTTAATCATGATGCTTGATCACCAGCTCTGCAAGCTGTTCCCTCAGCAGCACAGAAGCTGCTGCTGCTGAGTGGGTAGCTGGGTTCATTTTAGTTTATGTACTAGTAAACAGATGATGCGCCTCAAAGGAAAAAAAACAGGTTGGTGTGTCTCTCTTTTTTAATACCCAATATGTTGACAGGAGCTGGTCATCAGAGTCCACTGATAGTTAGATAAATTATGTTAAACCATCACAAACACAGAAGAGAGACAAAGATTTGATTTTGCATGTGTTTCATGGGAAATGACTTTCATGACAGTGAACAGAGGGCATGAAACAACATGTGGGCCTGCAGAGTAAACAGTGTCATTCACTCGTCTTCTATTTGCAGTCAGCCTGTTCAAAATGTCCCTCGCTTGTGACGAGGGTTTAAGTAAAATCACGCAATCAGCATGAACCCTGTCATGCTACAGCGCTCCTGTTGTTTCTGCAGCATTGAGGAACTTCAAACATAAGCAGCACTTGAGGTGTAACAAATGCATATATATTACTGGCAGTGTGCAGAATCCCCTGATCTGTTTTGGGATTGTGATCCAATTTTTGTCAAGCCCCTCTGATAAATATGTAGCTGGTGTGGGACGTGTAACTTGACTTGAGACATATTGCCACATACTTACTGTGACTTTGTTGTGTTTATCAACACTCAAATAAATGAAGCAACTGTAACCAGGCTACATCACAGTCAAACTCAGAGAACAATAGCATCAATAAGACACAACATTGGGGGTTTTGGATTAAAGGTTGGCGCAGAGTCACAGTCATAGGGCATGAAGGGGAAGAGGAAGAGGAAGAAGTAAAATGTGGTACAGGCTATCAGACCCGTTGAAGATGCTCACACACAAGGTGATGCTTGGTGGAGTTAAGAAATAAAAATGTGCTTAATTACACTAGGAATGATCCACCCATCCATTTATTCAACTGAACTTTTTAAAAGCGGCCAGACATTTCCTCTACAGCAAACGTGATACCAAAACTACACCCTGAACCACTTTCTGAAAAGGTGGCTAAGGTACAGGATTTTCCAGGCAGTGTGCTTGTCCTTTGTTCTATAATACGAGAGCAAACTGCCTCCCACTTACAACCTTAGAAAGCGAAAGAGAGAGATAGAGAGCCTGCATTGTCATGAGCACACTCAATCACAGTGTAGAAAAAGAAACGCTGCTTTACATTGTATACCAAAGGTTTAACTTTGTGTTTTCTTATTGTGATTTCCTGGCTGTGCAATTTTGAACAAGAGACATTTAAACTTGAATGCAACGCCAGTAAGAAGTGTATTCATCTTTTTGAGTAGTAAAGTTATCTGTTCCTATTGTTTAGCTGGAAAAAGCCATTAATCATTGAGTGAAGGATTGAGTGCTGCGTCTGGTTGCTTTACGGTATCAAAGTCAATATTTGATTTGTGGTGACATATTAACTTATTGGGCAGAAGATGGGGCAAGCTAAATATATTATCAACTAACACGCAGAGATGTTTAGTATCAACAGATTACACTCCCCCGACAGTTACAATCTGAAAACATCACATAATGATGCAAAGTGCAACATTACGATGCCACTAGCACTACATTCCTACACATTGTTTGATTTGAGGGTATTTTGATCTGATTGGACCCGCAGCTCCTTCCAGCTGATAAACAGCACAAGACTGAATGAATCCTTTGCGTTTCCTCACAGTGCAGAGGAAAAAAACACAATAATAGCCAGATAGATTACCCGATACTTCTAGATTTAGTTCAGATAGTAGGCTCACTGAATAGGAGCATGATGATAAAGAAAGCACACACTGCAAGCATTCGCAAATGTTTGTTGATAACACATGCGCACATAAACACTCCCTCTTAACAGCGACCTTGCATGGTGACTGAACACACCTGAGTGAAAACCTGTCCATCAACAGTTCATGTACAACCAGGAACATAACTTTTTATTTTCAGGTTCTGTCACTTGGATTTTTTTAGCTTCATTGGTTGTCTTAGACTTGTTACAATTGAAAGACTTTAATGACTCCCACCTACACCAGTCTCTCGTGTGTGTGTGTGTGTGTGTGTGTGTGTGTGTGTGTGTGTGTGTGTG